TTTCTCTAACACTCGCTCTGATGCAGTACAGGAAGCCAATGAAGAGATCAGACAGATTTTGTTTTGCTTGTGTTCTGTGGTAGCTCGCCAAACTGATCCGATTACCGATGAAAATCTCAGGGATGAATTTTGACTTATTTTTGCTTTTTCAGAAAAAAAAAATCCGTTTATTATTTAGACAGGTGTAATTTATCAGTCGGAATTGATCGCCATCAGATTTCGATTGAAAACATCAGTAATTTCTTGTAATTATCGACGAATCGGCTTTTTTTCCTTTGTTTTTGTATGAATAATGCCTGTAGTAATGGTAGAATTATAGATTGGCATGACTTTTGTTCCCTCAATTTATCCTCACTTTTTATCCTTTGCGAATTGGTGCTTTTGTTGTTTTTGAGGTGCAATGCATTTGTTTTTTTCTGGTATCACATGCTTTGCTTTAATTTTTATTGATTCTGTGTTATACGTGTATGTATAATCTCAAAGTATCCTGTGGTTTATACCTGTACTACTGTTTGGCAAATTTTTCTGAAGATTAATATTAATATTTATGCACAAATATTGCAGTAAAATAATTTGAAATTAATAATAAAATGTACTGAAAAATTAAAAAACGCGTTTGCCGATTTTTTTGAAAAAAAAATGAAAAATTTGAAATTTCATGAAAAACTAAAAGCCCTCAAAAATATCAATGCTCATCACTCTAAACTGAAACTTTTGCTGACCGCCGTTGTTGTTTTTGGCAGAAAACGTGAAAAATCTTTAAAAAAAACTTGATAATGAAAAAATTTTAGTAACTGAAGTGAATTGAAAGTTTAAAAAAAACTCAATAAAGATGTCAGTGTTTTTTGCAAAATTTTTTTTATTAAAAAAGCATAATTTTTTTATAAAAAGTTGGTATAAACAACTCAAATTTTTCTCCTACGAGAAAAAAATGGTATTTCGCTGTAAAAAAATAGCCGATAATTATTGTGTGAAAGAAGAAAAAATCAGATTTTTCAATGTACTAGAAGAAAAAATCTGATTCTTTTCTTGTGTCAAAAAATCCTAATAATTCATAATATCAAAAGAAAAAATCAGTTATCTTGTTCTGTCAGAAAATCGGATACTTTACTGTGTCAGAAAAAAATTAGGTTTTTTACTGTATCAAAATCGACGCTTGTGTAATTTTTTATATCAAAAAAGAGAAAAAAAAAAACTCGGGTAATTTATTTTGACGAAAAATCGACAATTTTTATCAAAAAAGACACTGTTAATTTATTATTTTCCGCATTTGAGAAAAAATTTTCGCTACTTTTTTGAATAAAAAAAACTCTCAATTCATTATACCAAACAAAACCTACTAGTTCACTGTAATAAAAAAAGATTTCGACTTTTTTGTGTCAAAAAAAAAAAAAAACTTCCTGTTCGAAATCCCAGTATTTCATTGTTCATTGTGCCTGTTTTGAAATTTTTGTCTGATAAATTGTTCACTTATAAAATGTTGTTATCCCCCAGTAAGGTGCGGT